CTGATTGCATCTCCATAGCACTGTTTAACTTAGTCTAGTTTATATTTCTTACAAATAATTAGATCTAGAGCAGGGGTTGGCAAACCACAGCCCAAGGGCCAAGTATGGGTCTCTGCATATTTTATAAATAAAGTTTTATTGGAGCACGCCTTGCCCATTCATTCGCTTATTGCCTATGGCTGCTATTGTGCTTCAGCAGAGTGGCATATTCAGGAGAGAAAGCATATGGCTGGTTAAGTCTCCAATATATACTATCTGACTCCTGGTCTATAAAATTAATCTGATACTGGTCATTTTTTAGTAGAAATCTTTCTTAGGTGATGATGGGTTCAATGCAATGGTAAAAGTGTCCAGGTAGACTCTTGGGGTGTGTGTGACAGATTGATCTATGACAGAAGTAATGACCGAAGTAATGTAAGTCAGTGAAAAAGAAAGCTAAATTATTTAACACATCATGCAGGGACAGTTGGCTCTCTCGGATGGGGTGGGGGGGAGTGGATTCCTTCCTGTCATCATACAGAAAAAGAAGTTTCAAATAGATTAATACACTAAAGACTCCTAGACTGTATTTATGGTATCAGGATAGTGAATGAGTTCTTAAGACACAAGAAGAACAAACCATGGTGAAGGTCAGTACGTTTGCGTTAAAACTAAAGCCCAGGAAGATGGCAGAGTGAGAAGCACTAGGAATCTGTCACCCCATCTAGATAACAGTTGTACTGGCAGAATCTGATTTTGGAACTCTGGAATCTTGAAGGCTTGCAACTTCCACAGGAAGACTTGAATGGTAAATTGTGGGTAATTCCAGTCAGTATCGGCTCTTAGCGCAATAGCAGCTACCTAGCCCCCAGCCCCTTGGCAGGCAGCTGTGCACATGTTCCTGGAGCAGCTTGCACACAGCTTGTAGAACCAGGGTGGGCAAAAAGGCCCCAGTTCACTAAATATTGGAGATCTGTGCTCTGATCACTGATTGCTACTTCTGATCACACCAGTGCAGGCACGGACATTGTTGCAAGCTTCTTCCCCTCCTGCTGAAGTAACATTCAGGAGATTTAAAAGGCCATTTACCCCCTCCCCTTTCATTTTTCAACTTTTCCCCTTTTGTGAGCCAGACTAAAGTTTAGGGCATCTTTGGGCGCCTGGGTGACTCAGTCGTTAAGCGTCTGCCTTCGGCTCAGGTCATGATCCCAGGGTACTGGGATCGACTCCCGCATCAGGCTCCCTGCTTAGCGGGAAGCCTGCTTCTCTCTCTCTCCCACTCCCCCTGCTTGTGTTCCTGCTCTCGCTATCTCTCTCTCTGTCAAATAAATAAATAAAATCTTTAAAAAAATAAATAAAGTTTATGGCATTCCAGAACAACTGCATATATGGGGATAATTAAAAAGTGGTTGTGCATACCCAGGGAAAGGCTCAGAAAAGACCTGAGAAAACATTGAGTTTATACCTCAGTGGATCTTTGGCCTAGAGACAGCCTACAACAATCAAAAAAATCAGTATGGGGAAGAAGAATATGATTTTCAAAGTTACCACATCATTAGACTCAAATGTCCAGTGTTCAACGAAAAATCAGAAGGCATGCACAGAAAGTATGACCCATTCAAAGGAAAAAATAAATCAACAGAAACTATCTCTGAAAAAGATCTAAATGTCAAGCCTACTAGAGAAAGACTTTATTTATTTTTAGAGCATTCGCGAGTGGGGTGGGGGTAGGGCAGAGGAAGGAGAGAATTTTTTTTTTTTTTAAGATTCCATTAATTTATTTGATAGAATAAGAAAGCCAGAGCAGCAGGGAGAGGGAGAAGCAGACTCCCCACTGAGCAGAGAGCCCGAGACGCTGGGGTCCATCCCAGGACCCTGGGATCACGGACTGAGTGGAAAGCAGATGCATAACTGACTGAGAGAGAAAGGGCGGGTGCGGGGGTGGGGCGGATCTTAAGCAGGCTCCATGCTCAGTGCGACCCTGAGATCATGACCAGAGCCAAAATTAAGTCAGATGCCTAACCAACTGAACCACCTGGGCTCCCCTAAACAAAGACTTTATTTTTTTTTTTAAGATTTTATTTATTTATTAGAGCGAGGGGAGCGGAGAGAGAGAGAGAGGCAGGCTCCCTGCTGAGCAAGGAGCCCCATGCAGGGCTCAATCCTAGGACCCGGGATCATGACCTGAGCCAAAGGCAGGCACTTAACCAACTGAGCCACCCAGGCATCCCTAGACAAAGATTTTAAAACAACCGTCTTAAAAATGCTCAAAGAACTAAAAGAAGATGTGGAGAAAGTCAAGAAAACAATGTGAACAAAATGGAAATATCTATAAAAGGAATAGAAAACCTAACAGGAAACCAAAAAGAAATTCTGGAGCTGAAAAAGTACAATAACTGAAATGAAAATTCACTAGAGGGATTCAAAGGCAGATTTCCAGAGCAGAAGAAAGTTAGTTCCTGGCTGCCTCAGTCAGAGGAGCATGTGACTCTTGATCTTGGGGTTGTGAGTTCAAGCCCCCCCATTGGGTGTAGAGATTACTAAAAATAAATAATTTTTTTAAAGTCAAGATAGGACAATGGAAATTAATGAGGCTGACGAACAGAAAAAAAAGACTGAAGAGAAGGTAACAGCCTAAGGAGTATGCGGGTCACTATCAAGCAGACACTAATAAGAATTGTGGGAGTGCACTGTTGTGGGAATATAAAATGGGACAGCTGCTGCAAAAAACAGTTGGATAGTTCCTCAAAAAAATAAAAATATCATATGATCCAGCAATTCCAGTTCTGGGTTCTCAAAAGACTTGAAAGCAGGGTCTCAAGAGTTATTTATACACTCAAGTTCATAGCAGCATCATTCATACTAGCTAAAACGTGGAAGCAGGGGTGCCTGGCTGGTTCAGTTGGAGGAGCATGGGCCTCTTGATCTCAGGATTGTGAGTCTGAGCCCCACATTGGGCATGGAGATTGCTTAAAAACCTTAAAAAAAAAAAGTGGAAGCAACCCAAGTGTCCATCGATGGATGAATGTGATATTTACATACAGTAGAGTATCTTTCAGCCTTTAAAAGGAAGACGGTTCTTCAGTATGCTACAACATGGATGAACCTTGAGGACAGTGTGCTAAATGATAATAAGCCAGTCACAGAAGGACAAATCCTGTAGGGTTTTACTTACACAAGATGCTGAATATGGTCACAATCCTAAAGTCAAAGTAAAATGGTGCTTGCCAGGATCTGAGGGAGGGAGGAATGGGATGCTACTGTTTAATAGGTAGAGAGTTGCAGTTTTATAAGACAAAAAATAGGGGATGGATAGTGGTGATGGTTGCACAACAGTCTGAGTGTATTTAGTACCACTGAACTGTACACTTAAAAGTGAGAAATTTTATGTTATATGTATTTTACCACAATGGAAAAAACGGGGCATAAAGCCTATTGGAAATATTAGTATAAGCAAGTCAGGCCACAGACTAGAAGACTTGTGCAGCACATGAGTTGCAAAGCACAAGTATCCAGCAATTCTACATGTTTCTGTCCACCATAGAGAAACTCACACATGTACACAAGAACTCTGCAGAAAAGCTCATTGCTAGAAGAGGGAATGAACTTACTAGCCCTCAGGGAGGTGGGGAGATTAACTAGAATTAATTAAGTGGCATTCTAAAAGTTGAAATGATTGTACTGAGTGTACATGGTTAGATTTAAAAAAAAAAAAAGTGTTGAGTGTTTTTTAATTTAAATAAGCATGGTCTGAAATGATCTGTTCGGTGTGCATCTTAAATATTTAACCCTGCTGGTGTCTTTTTTGTAACTTTTGTATTTTGTACAATTTTTATTTTTTTGTAACTTTCCCTATGTTTGAAATGTTTTATAATTAACTTTTAAATGAAAAATAGGTAGTTACACTCTCTGGCTGTAGATTGTTGGTGGTGCCATTGCTGTGGGCAGGAGGAAGGGCTGATAGCTGTGGATGGCAGGTAGCTCAGGTCCGTAGTCATTGCTCCTTAGTTCTACACAGCCAGGGACTGCTCAGGTAAGGCATTTTGGTCTTCTGTTGGGAACTGTGACTCTTCCAGGAGGCAGAAGCAACTGTCAGAGCATTGTAGGGTCCAGGCTCTTAGAATGAATACCAGACATCTGAAAATGAGGGCATTTCATTACCCGCTGTGTTCCCGCCTGTGAAAGCACAGAGCCTCTGACATTTCCTCCTTTCTCACCAGCAGTCTGCAAACTGGGAGTGCCCAGGCATTGTCTCAGATTTAAGAGAATTTCCCTTTGGGGTGCCTGGGTTGCTCAGTTGTTTGGGCATCTGATTCTTGGTTTCCCCTCAGGTCATGATCCTCAGGGTCGTGGGATCGAGCCCTGCATTGGGCTCTGCACTGGGCTTTTGGAGTCGCCTTGGGATTCTCTCTCTCCATCTCTCTCTGCCCCTCGCCCCACTCGCATGCGTGGCATATACAGGCTCTCTCTCCCTCTCTTTAAAATAAGTAAGTCTTGGGGTGCCTGGGTGGCTCAGTCATTAAGCATCTGCCTTCAGCTCAGGTCATGATCCCAGGGTCCTGGGATCGAGTCCCGAGTCAGGCTCCCTGCTCATCGGGGAGCCTGCTTTTCCCTCTGCCTCTGCTGCTCCCCCTGCTGTGCGCGCTCTCTCTCTCTCGCTTGCTCTCTCACTCGCTCTCTCTGTGTCAAATAAATAAAATCTTTTAAAAAAGTCTTTAAAAAAAAAAAAGAATTTGTATTTCTGGCTTTAGATTGTGCTATCATCCAGCTGTCTCAGGATTTGCTTCTCATCTTGATGCTTTTAGGTGTTGAATACTATACAGCCAAATAGTCTATTCCCATTTCCAGGGAAACATTTAAGTATTTGTATCTTATTTTCTTTACCCTGTGGGGAGTAGTGTTGGCCAGGAGATCCATCTATGTGGATATGTAGTATCACTGAATTATGGGGTGAAACCCATTCTTTCCTTCTGCAGCTGACTAGGAAAAATTCACATAGCATCCTTGTTTCTTGCAGAACTCACAATACTTTATATGCATCAGAAATGCTGGCCAAGATGGCAGAGCCTTTCACAAAGGCTCTGGATATGCTTGAAGCGGAGAAATCTGCAATTTTAGGTAAGAAATCTAACCTTCTTTTCTTTCCTTGAAGTTTACCTTAGCTCTAATGGACTCCCGCAACAGCGTTGGGGTACCCATGTCACCCGTCACCTCCTCCTCGCCTGGCACCACCTCAACTGCCTGTTTCTGTGTGGAGCTCCTACAGAGTCTCTAGGAACAAGTGCATTCACTTCATTATCTTGGGTCTTCCAAGGCAGTTGTTCCCCTCTGCCACCCCCCTCTGCACTGTTAACCCTTCCAGGTAGAGGGGTGTGTCAGAGCCTTTAGATGATAAATAAACGATGGTCTTTTTGACCTGAAGGATATTAGCAGACTTTTCCTGCTTTCACATATGAAAAAAAAAGTTAAGTCAGTTAAGCTCTTAAATAAATAAATCTTGGAGCGCCTGGGTGGCTCAGTTGTTAAGCGTTTACCTTTGGCTCAAGTCATGATCCCAGGGTCCTGGGATTGACTCCCGCATTGGGCTCCTTGCTCCACGGGGAGCCTGCTTCTCCCTCTCCCACTCTCCCTGCTTGTGTTCCCTCTCTCGCTGTGTCTCTGTCAAATAAATAAATCTTAAAAGCAGTTAAGCTCAAATATCTTTAATTAGCAATATATTGTATGTATATAATCAAAAATCTTAATAGATTCTAAACCATGTTTCCCAGTTGTTACCTTGATTCGAATGCTGCTTTAACTCATTTTTCCCATTAGCAAATAATTATGCAATCCTGTGATATGTGCTGGGAAGGAAAGTGGCCATGTGTTTATTGGGAAACATCACCCATGTTGGAGCGGAGTCAGAGGACTGCCTCCTAGTAGAGACTTGAAGGATAAGTAGGAAGGAGCTCATCAGGTTGGGGGCAAGAGAAGATGTTGAGCCTTCTGGGCAGACAGAAAGGCAGGTACAAGATGCTGCGGCATGCAGGAAAGAGGTGTATCCAGGGAATAGAGAGGGGTGTCCCACACGGCTGGAAGACACAGAGCGAGGCAGTGGTCAGAAGTTAAAGCCAGAGACGTCCAGAGTTGCCTAAACCCTATACGCATCTCTGGAGCTTTGTGCTGGCTCACCATCACAGCCTCCACAGTATCTCTTCGTTCCCAGCCATAACCTCTGCCTGGGCCTGGCTGTGAGTAAGCAGGCCAGTGAGCATTCCTCGGCTGTGACATTCATGAAAAGAAGGGTGTCAGTTGGCCTTGCTGGAGCTCGTGTCTGTCTGACTCGGCCTGCACGGTCCTGGGCCTTTTCCTTTTGGCATCACTGCACTAAAGGTTACAGAAAATAATAAAAATAGAACTTCCGAGAAATGTCTTGCAATTACTATAAAAAATAGCTGTTGCTTCACCACCCATTCCCGCTCCCCTACCCTGCCATTCAGTTATTCAAATTAAACCAGGAATTCCTGCCATAGAAATAGATGTTCGCCCAAAACATACTAGAATGGACAAACAGTTCCCTCTGTCAGCTTCCAGCCATGAGCAAGACTTGAAATAAAAACTGCCTCTGATGAGAAATCTAGATCTTTTGGATCTTACAGATCTCTGTCATACTGTGATTAGTGGGTTTCATTATGATCTATTTTACGTATTGGGCTTTTGCATAAAATGTTGCTTGAAAAAGAGGTTCCCCAACTTAAAAAGGGAGGGGGGCATCCCTGGTGCTTTATGGAGAGATCATTTTGAGCTGTCACCATGTGTTTTGGTATAAGTACCATCTGAAGAAACCCAGGCAAAAAGTTGGAGCGCCCAGGTCTGGCCTGAAGTCCTGCGTACTGAAATAGCTTCGCCCTTTCCCTACCAAAACACTGTTGTAGCGGTCACCTCAAGGGGGGCTCTTAGCACCTCCATCTGGTAGAAGACATGGCCAGCTGCTTCGCATTTACGGCAGTTGTCACCCCCACCCCCAAAACTCACCTGCCTGCCGTAGGGTGTTGGCAGGTTAAGACCCTTGGCAGCAGAAGAGCATGTTCCCGACCCATCTCTCTCTCTAGGCTTACCTCAACCTCTCTTGGAACTGAATGACTCTCCTGTCTACAAAACGGTCTTGGAAAGAATGCAGCGTTTCTTCTGCACCCTCTATGAAAACTGGTAAGAAACCAATGCTGTTTCTCTCTAGTCTCTTTTTAGGCATGCATAGTATAGGAATGCCATGGATAGGACTTCTGATGTAGAAGTCTAGTGTACAGGTAAGATGAGGCCAAAATTTGACAGGAAGCCAATGATCCTAGTGTGACACCGAAATGAATTGGCTGGCTTTCTTGCATTTGCTTTTTTATAATTGTCATATGTGTCTCCGCCCTAGCCATGACTTGAGATTTTATGCCTAACTTGTCTGCTTCTGGTGCATAAAATGCTGAGACCACAGTATAAGATCCAGTGAGTGAGGCTGCATTTTCTCAGAGCCCTCACTACTCAGCTACTTTGAATAGGACTCTGGAGGCCGCTAGCCAGACTTTGTCTTTGGGTCCTGGTTGTAGGATGGGGAGGTAACCGGCCCTCCCATAGCACACCACACCCCAGACATTGTCCTCACTCACCCAGTGCTCCGGTCAGCCAGGCTAACCAAAAGAGACTGTGTTGTAAATCCATATTGCTTATGAAGTAATGAAGGCTACTGTTGATCTTGGGTGCCAACATCTCTCTTTAAAAACATGCTAAATCTACTACCAAGTTCCCTTAAAGGCGGGTGAGGGGTGTGTTACTGATTGAGCTGAAGGTCTCTTACGAACCAAATGCAATTGCTTTTCTAGCTGAGAAGTCTTAGCATAGGCTAGAAATTCCTGGGGCATTCGGGGCTGGCAGGGACAAAGGTGGGGTTTGTCACTGGCCGTGATTTTCCCTTACAGTTTCCATATTCTCGGGAAGGCGGGTCCTTCCATGCAGCAGGACTTCTACACTGTGGAGCACCTTGCTACTCAGCTCCTCAGCTCGGCCTTTGTCAACTTGAACAATATTCCTGACTACCGACTCAGACCCATGCTTCATATCCTTTCCAAAGTCCCTAGATAACCCAAAACCCAAAGGGCCGGAGGGTTGCAGACAGGAGCAGCTTTCAGGCACCAGAGGAGACAGAGCTGAGCAGGTGGAATAGATGGGATCATTTATCCAACTGTGTGATAACCGCAGGAAGTGGACGAGAAGATTGGCGGAAATGCAGGAAAAACAGGAAGGCAGGGCCAGCGGGGCTGGAAAGTGTTTTCCTTAGGGGTAAATCTTGACCATCCCACTTCTTGGAAATAGGAAAGATAAAGGTTTTTTTGGTTTTTTAATCTCTTTTCTACATCCTATCAGGTGCTTCCTCTCATACTTCATTCTCATTTGGACTCTTTTTTTTTTTTTTCTTTAAATGTTTTTGAGAGTATCTTTCTTCCCTGAAGTTATAAGGAGACTAGCAAAGGAGAGCGTTCCTCCTCTTTTTTTCCTTCCGGGCAAATAAGTGTTTGTAATGTGCAGCCTAGTAGCCATTCCTGAGCAGCCCGGGGTTTTGGAAAAGAGATTGAAGATTTTTGTTTTTGTTTTTAAGATTTTATTGATTTATTAGAGAAAGAGAGAGCACAAGTGGCGGGGAGGGGCAGAGTGAGAGGGAGAAGCAGACTCCCTGCTGAGCAGGGAGCCCGATGCGGGACTCGATCCCAGGACCCTGGGATCATGACCTGAGCCGAAGGCAGACGCTTCACCGACTGAGCCACCCAGGCGCCCCGGATTTTTGTCTATTAACATAGAATGTCCTTGGCATCTTGCAGGTCCTTTGGGGGTTGACTCTGCCCATGGGGATATCCTGCTACGTGGCAGGAGAGGGGTGCCTTAGAATGAGAGGGGTCTGTGCTCACGTGCTAAAACTTCTTAACCCACCGCGCCATGGGTCTTTGTGAAGCCTCTGGTGCTCTTCTGTCCCCCGGAGCACTATGAAGCCCTGGTGTCTCCAATCCTTGGACCTCTTTTCACCTACCTCCACATGGTAAGAGATTGGTCAGAAAAGGGAGCAAAGAGGACCCTCAGGCAGGTTGGCCTCTCATGAGTCTTGCAAGTCAGGAGTTCCTGAAAGTGTTGTCTCCTGGCCCTGTTCAGAGGTCCGTGCAGCGGTCCCAACACAGCAGGCTTTGCTTGCTGCAGCGGATTGAGCACCTCCCAAGAACTAAACTGGTTCAGTTGCCCATGAAGACCTGCAGACTCCAGTTCTGCTCCTGACCTCCAGTTAACTGAGGAGAGGTGGTCAGGGGAGTGCCTTCCCTGGGTCTCTTTCCCCGACTGTGGGATTAAGCAAAAGGACCAGCTAGGTGGAGAACAGTGTCCAGAGAGACCTGGGAATTCTAGAGTATCTTTGATTTTTTCCAAGCATAGGATACCCTGTCCTCGTCATGGGCGTGGGAGAGGTTCTAGAAACCACATCTGCTGGTTTAACCTTGTGGGGCTTCCCAGGGCTCTGTCATTGAGACCTAGAATCCTCCTCGGCTCATTCTAATCATGAAGTGGACCTTAGATATTATCTGTTTCAACCTCCTCCCCACTATCAGCATTATTTCCCTTTTGTTTTCCCAGAGGCTTTCCCAGAAATGGCAAGTCATCAACCAGAGGAGCCTGCTGTGGTAAGGAGCGTCTCATCTCTTGGTGGAAAATGCTGCCGTTCAGGGCTAGAAAGCAGCAGGTTATGGCCGTTCTCAGCCTAGATGGGAGCCTGCTTGTCTGTGACCGTTAGGCATACTCCGGTCAGGCCTTTATAGGAGGGATCTTCAGCTGCCTGAGGAGGGTGCTGAGACATCCTTACCCACTTTGGATTTTGATCCAGTACCTCTAGCCAACTGGATACAGTCAAGTAATAATGTCTGCCTCAGTGGATCATTGTTGTCCCATTCCCAGCATTTGTGTGGAATGTAGACCAAAGGAAGCCAGGAGAAGGAAGTGAGCACAGAGGGTCTGGTTAGGGTCACTGTTTTCCTTGTCCTTCCCTCTTTTGCACTCCCGTGGAACTTGGCCCCCTCCTTTCCTGCAGTGGGGAAGATGACACCGCAGATGACAACCCAGAGTCTCAAGAGATGTTAGAAGAACAACTGGTGAGGATGTTAACCCGAGAAGTCATGGACCTAATCAGTAAGTGGCATGTGGGACGTAGGGGTAGTAGGGAAGACTTTTTCTGGAAAAAGAACTGGTTGCTCACCCAATCCCATTAAGGCATGTTTACAGCATTACTGACAGATCGATTAAGAAATAATTAACTAGGTAGAAGCCAGGTAGTCCTTAAATCAACTTAAGGACATTCTATGAATTGTAAACTGTATTGTGTTTGTAAGACCAGAATATGCGGGAATGGTCTAAAATAGCAGGAGAAATTTGGATTAATGGTAGGAGTAACTTCCTAGTTTTGTCAAAATAGGGGGGGGGGAAATTTTTTTTTTTTTTTAAAGTTTTTTTTA